AAATGTTTGACTTATCTTTGGAATAGCAATCGGTCAAACAAACCACTCCGGTCGTCAAGTCAAATTTAACTAAACAAGAACTTAACCTTAACAGACTTCTGAATTGAAACACTTTTATTAGCATACACATGGTATGAACCTATGTATTTAAGTAACGGAATCATTGAACGTGATTTCTATCTACTCTAAAACGTCGCATTGAATTTAAACTTCGCACACTTATCAATGTAAATACAATTATTTAATAAATTGGTCCAATTATGCTGATCAGTATCTTCAGGATTAAGGACTTTTGCCATTTCTAAAGATACGGTCTGCCTCCGATAGTTGACAAGGCGCATCCATGTTTTTTTCCGAATTTGAGTTATATATTTTCACGATAAATTGATTTTTCTTTTTTACCTTTTAGCAAATTATTTTCTAGTTTTTAGTTGCGCTAGTTACAAAAACGTGTTTTTGGTGTTTTTAAACTATATTTTATTAATTTATATGATATAGTCAGAAACACACACATTAGAGGCACCTTCAAATTGAGACCTATCCCAGATAAGACAGGAGAGCCGTCTGCTGTGGTACAGACACGTTATGAAGCGATCATCTGACCACATGACCAGAAAAGTGCTAGATATCGAAACTAAACCCTGAAGACGAGGAAGACCCCGAATCACATTAATGTCCGTAGTAAATAAGAACCTCAGGGAAGCCTAAGTCAACAAAGAGACGACCCAGGACTGAACTGCCTGGAGACACATGATACGGAGCGCCGCCCCAAATAAAATGGGAAAGGGCCAGGCAAAGATTCAGATAGTTTATTGAGTAATAGATTTTCAAGCGGAAGTGGCCTCTTGATCTAGTGGGCTGGCCATATTAGCCACAGAACCGACACCGTTGGAGTAAACGACTTCTTGAATGGAGACCGCGTCTGTGCATACGTAGTGTAGGACGCCCACAGGTCAGGTGGATCGACGATCTGTGCAAAGTGGCTGGCAGAAGCTGGATGCGAGAAGCCGAAAATCGATCTAAGCGGCGTACAATGGGACAGGCCTATGTCCAGTAGTGGACTGCGATAGGCTGATGATAATGATAGTTTATTTATGTTATAGACGGCAAACAAACAGACTGGTCACCCATAATTTAGGAGAGGAGCTATAAATATACCGGTAAGCTTACTCACTCCGTGAAAAGCAGCAGAAGAATTGATTAAGACCCGTTTTTTGGAAGGTCTCACTCTGGTCAAATCGACCCATATTTAAGGTCATCATGGTAAACATTTGTGTGGTAACGGATTAAGAATACACGAGTGACGTAAGAGCCGACTAAGTGAGCAAACTATGCAGGACAACAGCACTGTAAAGAGAAGAAAAACTTGAAACCTATACCAACCCGTCTGGCTTGCGAAGTATAGTAGGCCAAACTTCCTTTCTAAGAGGCCAGATGATAAAAAAATATTTTATTAGACGTTTAGCACAACGATGTTAACAGTAGCCGAACAGATGAGAATTTAATTCAAAGATCTGTCTAACACATCACCAGAATACACTTAGTATTCATTCATGTAATTGTTACAATGCTCTGAATTCTTTCCAAAACATTACATCTTTGTTTTGTAATGACAGTTAAGTAATAAGCCACTCGTTAAATTTTAGAACCATTATGTGATGTAAGTTGAAAACCAACTTGTGTGATATGTAAGACCTGGCGAAAATGAACTTATGTCGAATTGAACTAGGCCCTGTCCTCAGAGATAGCGCCTGGTTTTAGTACTTTTTCTGGTCAGAGGTTCGCCTGTTCCTGTTCTCAGGAAAGGCATTTTGGCAGAAATTCAAATGAGGGGCAACTCGTCTCCTTCTGGTTTAATTGTTAGAGCAGCTGTAACACTATATTTCAGCATTGTTGTCTATTTTGACGGATCAAAAACAAGACAGGAGAAAACTGAAGTGTTTGAAAAACGTATTACAAGTATTAAAGTCGATACACAGTGAATTAGAAAAGTAAAACCATGAGGAAGTGACCTATAATTGTATCGACAGTACGTGTGTGGTGACTTACACATACGAGGAAACAAAGAAACATACTACAGCGCCATCTAACGAAGACACAACGAACTAAGGAGTAACTCCTGAATGAGAATAGCTAATCCTGTATCGCGATATGAAGAATTCTCTCACCGATTAGCATATATACAACTTCCCAACATTGACCGTTGGGCCTTTTGTGTTGGACCCCCGTTCCTTCACAGTGAATTAGGAAATATACGTATATTGCGTTAAAAATATGCGGAGATCACAACATCAAGTATGTACATAAATCATTAATCTATACATATAAAATTACTGGCGTTAGCTGACTGATTCATCAACACAGAGTCGAAACAAAGCTACAAACTTGAAATTTTGACATCTGATGCTTTTTATGTTGTAGGCACCTACTAAGAGAGGACTTTTACCCCTAAGGGGAATATGGGAACAACATCACACATCACATCAACAGCCTTTAATAGTCTACTGCTGGACATAGGCCTCTCCTTAGAAAGGATGTTTTGGCCTACTATACTACGCTGGCCAGACGGGTTGGTATAGGGCTTGTGTCAAGTTTTCCTTCTCTCTGCAGTGCTGTAGTGCTGTAGTAGTGCTATTCTGCGTATAGTTTTCTCCCTTATGATGCCCCGGGATGAATAGGGGTGGTGACAGTCTGTATTCTTAATCCGTCACCACACGGAAAGGAAGAACGGTTATATGGAAGTTCCTCATTTTCAAAGTAAAAAACATGAAACAAGCAAAACATTCACGCGAGCTATATACTATTTATATGAATATGTATAAATGATGTATACTGCCACGGTGGCGCATTGGTAGTTTATGCGACTGCTGTGTTGACGTCTCGGGTTCTATTCCCAGGTCGGACCATATGTTTGTATGATCTGGAAATATTTGTTTCAGAGTTTAGGTATTTTCTATGTTAAATCTGTATGTATTTACAAAACAATATGTGTTCTATCAGTCAATCTAGCTTTCATAGTACAATCTCTGCTTAGTTTGAAGCTAGATGGCGTTGTGTCAGATGTCCAAAATATTATATTATTATTATATGATATGCCTGTATACAGCAGACTATGTATTCCCCTATCCAATGCATGCAGGTGTGGTTGTATTCTAGCAGTCACTCTCAAACTTCTAATTCCCTATTTAAGTAAGTTCTTTTGCGATCTCTTCTGTTATTTATACATTTAATTGAAGGATCAATGTGCAATAACCTCACTTCAATGTAGTAAAATTAAATAACGTTTGTGTTCAAGGCCCGTGACGGCCAGCGCGCTCAATTCTTGACTTCCGAGATGTTAGGAAGTGAGATTATATAAAATCAAACAAAAAATATCTATCTATACTTGTATACTGAAACTGACAAATTTCTTTTTTTTTTGTGTATTCCGGTCCTCAAAAGGAAAAAGGATCCCTGATAGGTAGTCGTTGGTGTATCAGTGCGTCTGTTTTTCAGGAACGCATGAGGGAGAGAGTTAGTTAAAAATAATATCACGACTGCCTTTACTAGTCCACTGCTGGACATAGGCCTCTCCTTAGAAAGGAGGTTTTGGCCTACTATACCACGCTGGCCAGATGGGTTGGTATAGGGTTTGTTTCATGTTTTCCTTCTCTCTGCAGTGCTGTTGTCCTGCGTAGTTTGCTTCCTTAGTCGCCAGTTACGACACCCACGGGATGAATAGGGGTGGTAACAGTCTGTATCCTTAATCCGTCACCACACGGACAGAAAAATAATATCTAGAAATTATTTCTACAGTCCCTTGAGTAAAGCTATAAACAAGTTTAGTTTCTTAGTTAATGCAATCGAAAAACCGTTTAAGCTTTATATTGTTTAAGTAAAGTCTATAGGGTACCCATTGACATAGAATCGTAAAAATTGGTGAGGACCAAAGTTTCACAGCACACGCATAGGAATAGTAGTAAACGGTAAATTAGTAGGGGAGAAATTTTCAAAGAAATTCAAAGTTAAGTTTGAATTATAAACACACTAGGGAAAAACGGGCAAAAAAATAATCAAAAATTAATTCCTGAACTACATACGAGGTTGTGCAGAGTTTAGTTGGCCATTGAATTTAGTCACTTGTTCCACAATATTCTGGAATAGTACAAGTTTCTTGTTTCAAGATGTGCAGCAAGTTCCAGTGTTCCACCAAGTGCCATTCATCAACAGAATAAATAGTGTTCGGCTTTTGTTTTTGAATGAACGCGCTGACACCACTAATCTGAGTTGAATAAACTCCCGCATTAGGAATATATCCTGTGTCGCGGGGGACTTTACAAAAATACATGAAACGGACGCAAAGGACACCCAGACTCAGAACAACAATTTGTGGATCACACAAAGTGTCGTCCCGTGTGGGGTTTGAACCCACAACACTCGGCGTAGTAGGAAGCGGCGCGGCGTGCGAAATTTTATAGTCAAATGTATCACATCACACATCGTCACATCAACAGCCTTTAATAGTCCACTGCTGGACATAGGCCTCTCCTTAGAAAGAAGGTTTTGGCCTACTATACCACGCTGGCCAGACGGGTTGGTATATGGGTTTGTGTCAAGTTTTCCATCTTTTTGCAGTGCTGGTGTCCTGCGTTGTTTTGCGCCCTTAGTCGGCTCTTACGACACCCACGGGATGAATTGGGGTAGTGACATTCCGTATTCTTAATCCGTCACTACACGGACAAATGTATTGTTACAGTAAATTATTAAGGTAATCCACAAATTGATTTACACAAAAGTTGACTTTAAAAGCATTTGATGTTTTTCTGCCACCCCACTCTAAAATTATTTATTTCTATATCTGTTATTATTCCAAGCTGTCTGTAAGGAAACCGCAGCAGTATGCGCATCTAGATATCCTACTTCCAGTACAGTCATTAAAATGTCTGGAGGCTATAACTTAAAAATGAATATTAACAATATAAACAATAATAACAGTACCCAGTTTTACAAATTCTACTCACTTCGAAGGTAGTAGGTACTATGGGTTGCCGCTGCGTGTCCCGATGCACGCCTGTCGCAGCGAGTACCGCGGCGCTGTTCCCGCAAGCCAGGCATAGCAGAGACAGCGCCAAGAACGCAGTGAGCAGCGGACTTCTAGAACAAGAGAAATTAAAAAATATTAGCCTAAGATACGTTGTTTATTGAAGCTTACAGTTAGGTATTTATTTACCAAGGTTGCCTGTAAGAGATTGCCTCTGAGCGATAAGGCCGCCATTTGTACCTGTCTAACCTAGCTTAAGTTAATCTTTATATATTTATACCTGGTGTACAATAAAGAGATTTATTATTATTATTATTATTTATCGACTCACACTGTTAAGAGAAAAAACGACGGGTTGCACTCCGGGAGTGTCGGCAGAAGTGAAAACTTGAATATTAACGTTGTGCATTTTTTACCCACACGAACAATCGCGCAAGCGCCCTGCGCCGCCTAAACGAACGTCCTACGAATTTTCGATCAGGTCACGTGTCCTGACTCGAGTTTAACATTTTTTAATCATTACAAAAAAAGTGTACAACGCCGCTAAAGAAGTTGTCACTTTAATAATCTGACACATAATCAAGAATTACAAAATAAAACTGACGGAACAATAATAATGCATTCTAATAAACACTGTCGTGAAAGTTATTTATGTTAATTAAGTTTGTATGTTTTAGAATTATGGTTATCCGTACAGAAATAGGTATTCTTTGTTCTGTGGTCCTACCTGAATGGACATATGGTATACCTCAACCAGCGCGAAGATTCTTCACTCGTCAACAAACGACCCGCTATCGATGCCAAACCTAATCAAACTTTCCCCACTTATACGTATACGTGTGGTGACGGATTGTGAATACGTTATATCACCACCCCTATTCAACCCGTGGGTGTCGTAAGAACCGGCTAAGGAAGCTAACTACGCAGGACAACAGAACTGTTAAAAAAAGGAAAACTTGAAACAAACCCTATATCCACCTTGCCAAAGTGGTTTAGTAAGCCAAAACATCCTTTCGAAGGAGAGGCCTATGTCCAGCTGTGGACTAAAGGTTGTTGACGATGATGAGCTATACGTGAGTAAAGCTATACAGATACCCTTAATTAATAATAATAAAGCAAACGTCGAGCGCTTTTAAGTATTATCCTGTATTGCGCAATTGAAATTCTAATTTAGATTATCCAACATTAGACTTCGAGAATCGAGATCTCAGTAGCTTACAAGAACAAGCTTCCTACAAGAACGACGATAAAATACATAAGTAATTATGTTTAATTTCTCATAAGTAATAACGAAAGACGTGCATGCCTATTTTAAAACAATCTTTATCGATAAATATCAGTGATAAGGTTATTATCACCGTCCGATTTCTTTATAAATTCCTATAACAGTTTTGATGTAATGTTTGATTATATTAATATAACATAATTTGTTCAACATTATAGAAAATACCTTTCTTTGGTATAGTTAGCTTGTTGCTTTTAAAAGATTGACCATGAGTTAGCTCGTCATAAAAAAAACCATTTGAAAATGGGTACAATAAAATACTAATTAAAGTTGACGACTTTAAACAAAATTATTTAATATACTTTTAAATATTATTTATGGAATTCTCGATGTACCCTCCTATACTTCGCTATCGCACATTGTGGTTTCAAAAAATAAAGAAGAAAAAAAACATCTTTAAAGCGTGTTGTATATCGTGTCAAAACTTGAGCTCCTTCGGTGCAGAAATTTTTGGGTTTTTGAAACGTACACAAACCAATTTTTTTTTATATATACGTAGATTTAATATTGTTCAAATGACTCTTTGTTCTAAACTCCTACGTATATGTGTAGTTTAATACTTATAAGTTACATAAACATTTAATCTATAAATAAACTGTTACTGAATTAGAAGAAATATAATATTTGTTGTGTTATTTTAGGCATCAATTTCCTTCTAGTTACACGCTCTGAGCGGAGGGGACCGAGACCGAAAAATGTGTAACAAGACTTTTTTCCGACACTATAGCAAACGTCTACCAAAAAGCGAATGGAACTTCGTTACGGCCGGGGGTCCATAGACCCCTCACGCCGTTTTTTTATGGTAATGTGGGGAGGAGATAGGGGGGGGGGCAAACCAGCAGACGAGTTACCTAATGGTAAGTGGCTACCGTCGCCCATTTATAACTTCAACTCATTCAACAAGTGCATTGTCGCTCTTTTAGTCTCCCCGTTATCATCAAGATCAGAAGGGAAGTGTCGTCCCAAAACCTTCCCAATATTACCACTCTTTTTCTTTAGTTATCTTTTATAATAATTACTAAATACAACCTTAAAACTTTCAACAAAACCCAGACACAAAAAACTTTTAAAATATGTAATCTGCCATTTTGAAACGGCGGCCATTTTGGACCGATTTTCATCAAACATAGCTAAGAACACTCCCGACTAGTTCACCTTTCCAACAAAAAAAAAACATATCAAAACTGATTCACCCCTTCGGGAGCTACGATGCCACAGACAGACACACACACAAACATGTCAAACTTATAACACGCCGTCGTTTTTGCCTCCTAAAAAACCTGCGCAATGTTACCACACTTTTCTTCCAGTTTTCTATCATAAAAAAATTACTTTTGAGACGATTCTCAAGCAGGGCGAGTTTCATCAATCATCAACAGCGTATAATAGTCCACTGCTGGACATAAGCCTCTCCACAGAAAGGAGGTTTTCGCCTACTATACCAAACTGGCCAGACGTGTTAGTATAGCGTTTGTGTCAACTTTTCCTTCTCTTTACAGTGCTGTTGTCCTGCGTAGTATTACGACACCTACGGGATGAATAAGGGTGGTAACACTCCGTATTGTTAATCCGTCACCACACGCATAAATTTATATTTAAACAAATAAAATATTATCATCACGTTGCGTGGAAACTTGTCTGGTAGGCAGTAATACTGGTACACCTTATTACATAGGGTCTTAGTGTTACCTACCAACTTCTATTGACACGTAAATATTGAAAAAAAAAAAATGCTGTTCCAATCCAGGTCAAGGCGATAACCATCAATTTAACAGATATGTATAATAAATTTGAACAAATCGTAGTGAAAGTAAAGTATAGATAACATTTGATTAATATGTAATCAAGAAGGTGCGCGGGCGCCGCCGTGTGAACGGTCCATCACTAGCAGATGACGTCATGACAAGGTGAATAACCTACATAAGAGATACCCTGATCAATACTAATATCACAAAAAGGTAAAATGGGTTTGTAAGTATGTAAATATGTAAGTTTTGTATGTAGGCGTGAATCTTTGAGTCTGCTGAACCGATGCTCAACATTTTTTAACTAATATGTAACTGCATTATCTCCAAGTGATATAAATTATATTTATATCGTCCATATTAGCATCAAATTTTCAAGCAAGTCGAAACACAAGCTGTGGAACCTAAGTTCCGTCATATTAGTTAATAATAATTTATTAATAAACTCATATATTGTATTCTTATATATTGCCGTCGTTCGCCACAGATTAATAAAGACCAAAGACAATATGTCCCGCATTCCACAACTGACAACAAGATAGCTGTCATTACTAACTAAGATCTGTTGCTGATATCTCAAACTATTAATTTTATAGATTATCTCAATTCTTTGATCATCCATCACAAATATACCTGCCTTTCGGCGATATATTTCTAATTAATTTACCGTGTACCATGCCATTTTATAATCAACTTTAATGTCGTGATGTTACAACACATTGTTGGTGAATTGTAAGTCTATGTTAAAGTGAAAGCATGTGTGGTGATGAGCCACATAGGTGAGCTTGGCTTCTAATGAGTGTAGTTAAGACTTGTATTATTGACAGACTGGTGATTACAGAGCCATAGATAGCCATACGTACTATTAGTCAAGATGATATTGATTGTATACTGATACACCTAAACTGACTGCAGTTTAGGTGTTCATTGTACTTTTTAAGAAGTGAAATGTCTTGTTTCTTAATCATCGGTTTCTGATGACTCAAGGTGTGAAAGTAAAGATGTAACGAATATGTCAGCGTTATTGTAACAGTAAGCATCTTTAGATTGCGGATATATTTTAGACAAGAGTACCCGCGATGTCGTTCGTGTGGAATTTGAAAACCGCTGCTTTAGTGGGTAGCCTAAGTTACTCCTTATATAGACAGTTACCTGGACATAAAATATTATCACAATCGGTCCAACCGTTTAGAAAAAGCAGACAGACAGACAGGCAAAAAAAAACAAATTGGTTTTTAGGCATAGGTATCGTGCAAATAACCGTGTGAGAATGTACAAGTCCTATAATTTTGACATTACCTACACTTCAATTTTAATTGACTGCACGGATGGCGTAGTGGTTTAAGCGGTCGCCACGCCGCTTACTACTGCGCCGAGTGTTGTGGGTTCTAACCCCACATGGTACGACACTTTGTGTGATCCACAAATTGATGTTCTAAGTCTGGGTGTTCTTTGTGTCCGTTTCATGTATGTTTGTAAAGTCCTCCGCGACACAGGAATGTATTCCTAATGCAGGAGTTGTCTTTTTAAAATAAAGATTTAAAAAAAATTGTTATATGGGGGGGGGGGCAACGGACAGACGGGTCGCCTTATGGCAAGTGACTACCGCCGCCCATGAACACCTGCAACTCAAGAGTGACAAGTGGGTTAAAGACCACCCGGCGAAAACCAACTAAAGGAACCCCGGTTTTCTGTAAGCCGTGCTATCACTCCAGTCAAGCCATACATGCAGAAGATACTCCATCAACAAAGATAGGATTAAAATTTTAATATAAGACTTCAATAGACCTAACTTCGTTCTATATTTTTCTTTTTAAAAACAAACCTGTCAAAGTCCGTGACAGATGTCTATTACAAGTATAATGGCTGCACAAAGTACAGTAATATTATAGTCTTTTATCTATGGTAATATTACTAGAAAAATGGCTGTCTCCGCTGTGAGCACTAATAACACTTAATAACTAACTTCCCGAGGCCATTGTCGGCTATCATTACAAACGAAACCAAATTACTTTAAACTGTCATAATTATACATTAAATACACAATTATTTAAAGATAATTATTGTTTTACATTGTATTTCG